AGGTGAGGTGAGGTGAGGTGAGGTGAGGTGAGGTGAGGTGAGGTGAGTGAGTGAGACTGGGGTGAGAGAGTTGGTGTGAGAGAGTTGGGGTGTGTCAGTGTGTGTAAGTTGTGGAGGAGGAGCGGCGAGCCGAAAGGACAGCGAGGACAGGCAGGAGCTCCACGCTAGCATGTAGGGTAAAAGGACGAGAAGGGTCTTGGTTCACTCCCCAACCCCCTTTGGTAGGTTTAGTTATCGATGTATATTGTATATTCATTCGAAAGGCCACCGTTCTGAATGTGGCCCAACTGGCCCAGTGCAGAGGGGAGTGGTCCTGACCTCAGATATGCGATCCGACATGTGCAGATTCTCGCCATTGAGTTTCTAGCGAGATTGTACAGGTTCTTTACCCCCTGGGTGTGATTTTCCGATCAGTGGATCAAAGATACGGGGTTTCCCGCCATGGATCAACCGCAGCGTTCTGACCAGTGAAACCTATCAAAAAAGACTGCCAAAGATGGACGTCTATGCACTTTTGGGGCTCCACCTACCCTCTTCTTTTTTGGTCAGACAGATTCTGCTTATAGATCATGATTTCCCGTGAAAACCAACCGTGAGATTGTGAGCCAGATAAGACACACACACGGATATGACACGTGCTCAGATGGACGGAAAAAAGCATTGGCAGGGGCGCTGGGGTCGGAGAGGGCAGTGTGGAGCAAGTCATACGGGGTTGGATCTGAAAGAGGTACAGCAACGCAAAGCTGATTGATTTTGGACTATGTTCATTTGTCTAGGAAGTACTTTCCAGCATTGCCTCAAAGGGCAAGCTGATGGTGTAAGTAAAGACCTTTTTGGCAAGTCACTACAGGCTCAAAGATCCCGGATGGAAGAATTCTCCTGCGGCAGACTTGCCAATGAACCAACCTTTGCAGCCGCAGCTGAAACAGATGAACCAGAAGCTGGAGGATCTTTGCAGGCGTGTCCAATATCAGGAGTATCTTGAGACTGCAAGGTCCTCCTCTCAGAGGCAGCAAGCCTTGCAGCAACCTTGCTTGGAGGATCAGGTAAAGTGGCAAAGATCCGAGATCAAAAAGCTTCAAGATGCTCACTCCAAACTTCAGGAGGCTCAATCTGGCATGACGGTGGAGATCACAAACCTCAACCGTTGGGCAGGCCAGGTGAATGCGCAGTTGCACCACCCGGAAGGCTCTAGGGTCATCCAAAGGCTCCAAGCAGCCTCGGCAGAGCTGGAGGAAAATCTCCGTGAGTATCGAAGGATTGACAGCAACATCAAAGCTCACAAGGTCGAGAGCCAGCTGGGGGCTTTCAATCCCGAGACGCTTCTGCAATTCGTTCGAAACCAGATAGACCAGAAGATTGAACCCTGCAGGGACGACGTAAAGGAACTGCAAAAGCAGCTCCACAAGCTTGACGGTCTTGAGCAGCAGACTAAGAAGTGGGTGCCAGTTTCCATGGAGTCACAACACAACGAGATGGGGTCGAAGATCGCTGAGATGATGAAGCAGCTTCAAAAAGTGGGTGGTCTGGAGGCGGATTTGTCCCAGCACAAGGAGCAGCTTCAACGGATCAGTGGTCTTCAGATAAGTGTGCCACAGAAAGAGCTGGCAGGAACACTGAGAGGAGAAGTGGAACACTTAGCCACAAAGGTCGCCAATCTGGAGAAGAGTCTTCAGAGAAGTGTTGAGACACAGAACGCCTTGGTGGCAAAGCAGGCGACTAAGCAGCAGCAAAGGACAGATATTCTCGAGAGAAGGATACACACTCAAGAACAGCAGCTAGGAAGCCTGCAAGCCTCAATGACAAAACAGACCGAGGAGCAGCCTCAGAGAGTGGAGAGCCTTGAGGCAAAAGCTTCCATGCTGGAAGAGCAACTTCAAAAGATCAATGGTTTTGAGGCTGATGCAGAAGCCCAGGGAAAGCTGCTGGAAAGGCTGAGTGCCTCAGTGGCAAGTCAGGACGCGAAGCACCTTCAAAAGATGGAGAGTCTTCAGGCAGATGTGACCCGGCAGGAAGAGCAGCTTCAAAAGATCCGTGGTCTTGTGGCAAATGCAGCAACCCAAGAAGGGCTTCAGCAGCAGCTAGATGAGGTGAAGAAAACAGTTCCTTGGACATTCAACATTTTAGTCACATCATGCGGTGAGCATTGCACAATCCGAATCCAAGGGTTCTGTGTTGGTAGCCTGGTTTTGCATGCAAAGTATGATGAAGGGCGAGTCCAGATTTTCCCTGACCGGGCAGGCGAGGAAACTTGCCCGATTGTCCAATGCTGGAAAAGATCAGGGAAGTGCTGCAGAGAGCGTTGACCTCAAGAGCAAGTTTGAAGCCGGGCCTTGCTTTAGAATGCTAGTGCGGGACATCATTCTCATCAAAGGATGTGTATTTTTTAGAGTGAAATTTTGGAGCATTGTAGTGTGAACTTACGGCCCACAAGAAGAGAATGATTGGGTCCCGATTCTCAATGAGTTCCAGAATGATCAGGTCAGTTTTTCCTCTATTTTCTGTGTCCCTCCTTCAGGGGATCTTGTTTGCCATACTGAGATTCTGATCTTTTTCACGGATCTTGTCAGAAAGAGCTATAGAATAACAGGTTCTGGATGTCAAGACTGTCAAGAGGCACCCTTTTGAATCATCTCTCAGTTGCCATCCTTCTTGCTTTTGGACTGACATGCCTAGGATGCATGGATGCAGAGCAAGCGCTGGCCAAGCCCAAGCCGAGTTGAGAAGTTGGAGCAAGATCTGCCGAGCCTCCAAGGACTTCAAAGCCGACTCTCGAAGTTGGAAGATGCCCAAACCGAACCCGTGGAGAAGTGCTTGATCGTCATGGCACGCCTCACCGCCGTGGAGACAATGGTCCGGCAGGAGGCGTGGGGAAACAGCGGTGGTTGGTGAAGTGCTCAACACTGCTTGCAGCCTCCAGACCTAGAACAATCAAGGGTTGAATCTCCAAGCCGTTTGTGTTGAGGTCATAAACTTTTAATGTTTCTTCTCAAAAAACACATCGAACATCCACCAAGCCACTGGTTTGGTCTTCCCAACCTCGTCCAAGGAAGAACGGCTGCATCGTGATTCCTTACATTTTTTCTGTGGATCCCCATCCGGAAAGTACATGGGCATCGTGTGTATTGGAGTGGGGTCCATCACTCCGCCCTGTGAGTTAGTCTCCGAGTTTCGGAAAGCCCTTAGTCCTTGGGAGGTCTCTCACTGCGCACCCATGTGTTTCTCGTTGGAGGTTCTTCCGGAACTTCAACATCTCAAGACACGGATTGCCGATCGCTCCGGCCGCTCGGCGGGCCGGGCCTTTTTGGGCAGAGGGGTTTGTGCGAAGCACGGTGCGCAAAGGGGAAAGATGGGGCAACTTGTTCTTGGAATGATCCTGTTCACCTGTCTTATTCTACTGACCCTGTTGGGTACTGACGGGGTAATGGAACATGGACCCGGGCAAGACCAGGCCCCGATCAAAATCGGTCCCAGTTTCTAGTGACGACGCATGAGAATTTGACTCTGTGCTGGAGATGAACCCAAGGGCCTAGGGGAAATTCTGGGACAGGCCCTTGCCAACCCTTGTGGACCTTTGCTGGGGCTGGTTTATTTGGAGCGGGATGGCCCCCATGCAGCAAATACCGGTCAAACGTTGCCCCTCATCATCGATGTGATTGGGTATCTTCTTGTTGCCAGGGGTGCAAGTACGGACACATAGAACCTGAGTTAAGTGCACCAGTGGCTCATATCATAACGCTATTTGATATTGATGGCTAGAACTGATATGATGGCTAATGGTCAGAGCCAAACAAATCCACACATTCATCTGCATGGATACCGCCGCAAGGTTTTCCTTTTTCAGATGCGTGCCGCGCCTCAACCTATTGTCAGCTCCGAAAAAGTATCTCATCTTCAAGGTTTTTCTATTGACCGAACAAGGGGATCTCACAATCAGCGGGTGCCTCTTCTGCACCCAGCAGGACCTCTTTCAGCTTCGGCCGACGGGGGCTCCGGTGGCAGCAGCTCCCCTCGCTTCTTCGCCATGCCACCACGGCCGAAGGACTGGGGAAGAGTCGAGGGATCTTGATGACTCTCAAACAGAAGAGTGATCTGGGAAAGTGAGTCCGATGCGACATCTAAATTGAACGTTCAATATAAGTTGCACCCGCACACACACACAAGGTCATCTGAACCATCCTCGGGTGGATTGATCTTGGGACATCCAAGAAAAGGCCTGTTGATTGCTCCGTATTCAACACTTTAGGACGATAAGATGGACAAATATATACTTCTGTTTTTCTGAGTTCCCCATGACTCGCACTGGTGATGCCACATCTACTGCAACTGACTAGCCAGCCCATAGAAATCTGGATTGACTTGGCTCATAGGCCACCTGCATCCACACAAAGGAATCCCTCAAAATGGCATGTGTAGAAGCTTCTTCATGCGATACCATGAAATTCCGTCACTGGACATTGGCCTTGTGCTCAGTCTCTGAGAGGACCCAGTCTCTGAGAGGCGGACTTTGGATGTGGAGCGACGCCTGCACGCAGCACGGGACGCAACGCCACCGCAGAGCGTGGAGCAGCGCAGCAAGCTGTTGAAGACAGTGCAACTCACGTGACTCGGTGGAGGTCTGGCACCTTTGGGGTAGCAGAGGGAGAGGACTTGGTAGATTCTACTGGTAGATGAACCCAAGACACTTCGACAGGGTTCTTGGGTGAAGAATGGTGAAGAAGAGTACATGGCCAACATCGGTAAGGATCAAATGGTGAGATTGCATAGTAGCCTTAGAGGAGGTTGAATAGGATTGCAGCTCCAAGAACAGGACACCACAATATGCAGTCCGATGTTTCCCTGGAGAACATCCCGCAAAAGCGATCCATGTCACACCATTTCCACGTACGTCGTTGGCTTTTGGGGGTTTCTTGGTGCACAGCCGGGAGGACAAACTGAGCGAAGTGCAGAGCCACTTTACTAAAGTATATCAGTTTGGCTATTTGACAATAGGTCCCGAACTCACTTTGTGCGTAGGCCCTTGAGGCCAATGTCATGCTGACCCTCTTCCACTCGGATTGCCCGAATTGCTGTGGTCCCTACACCAACTCTTGCCAAGGCTGCATCCTGACAAGGGTGGCACAAATGAAGCCCAGATCCTCGCCAGCATCGCTGGGGGAGGGCCAGCAAAGAACCAGACTCAGACGCCACAACCTCATGGCACCAAATCTCACACACACACACACCATGATATCCTGGAGCTGGTGTCTATTTTGACAGAGATCGCCCGCGGGAGAGTCATCTGAAGCTTCCCCTCCTTCAACGCGTGGAAGGGAAGTGCTCTGGACCGGAGTTGGGTTCAAGGCATTGCAGGTATGCGGTTGTTGGGTTTGTATGGGCTTGTTCAAGCATAAAAATTACACTTTTTGGGAGGGGTGGGCTGTTCAAGAGAAAGACTCACAGAGACTCCACGATCACACCAGACCTAGTGCTCAACATGGTAGGGGATGTATGTCTCTTCAAACAACAGCTTCACAGCTTTAGTGTTAGTTTCTGGCAGCTGTTTGCGTGCGTTCGCTTGTCTCAACACTAGGGTTACTTTGGGTGTAGCCTTGTTTTCGATCTAGAGACACCATTTTGGTGAGCCGGGGGGGAAGCAACACCTTTGGCGCCCACCATTCCAGATGGCGCGTTTTCTGAGGATTTGGCTCAAAGAGTGGCTCAAGGATCACCTCGAGTGGTTCTTCGAGCCGCACCAAGTGCCAGAGAAGCTCAAGAAGCAATACCAGGCGATGAAGCAACCTGGCTGGGTGGCCAGATCGTGGGGCACAACTCTTTGGAGATCTTTGCAACCAAATGCATGTCCGACCAGCCAAACACTGGCCCGAGTCATGTATTCATTCAGGGATCAATGATGAACTCAGCTGCCGAACTCGCGACCACTGGCACATGTGTCCATCCAGACTCATCATGTGTGTCCCCTGACGTGATAGCATGTTACATATTGTAACCGCGATTCGGTCGCTCCCCAAATCACGAAAGCTAGCGAAGCTAGCTGGAGTTACTCTTGCGATAGCAAGGTTTCTTTCGACCGGGTGCAAATCCTAACCCCTGATTTTTCAGGTCGAAGACCCCCCCCCCTCTCCCCACCTCCCCCCCTCTCCTCCTCCTTGTCTTCCTCCCATCTTCCCTCCCTCCCTCCTCCCTCTTCGCAAGTTCGACTCCGTCCTGTCGTCGCTCTTTGGCATGCGGTTAGCGTTGCGTATCTTGCGGCCGCACTCGCTCACTCTCACTCTCACTCTCTCACTGTCTCACTGTCTCACTGTCTCTCTCATCTCTCTCATCTCTCTCATCTCTTTCTCATCTCTCTCATCTCTCTCTCCTCTCTCTCTCTCTCTCTCCTCTCTGTCTCTCGTCTTTCCGTCTCTCTTCTCTCTCTTCTCTCGCAGGAGGATCCGGGCAAAGAGCCACATATAAAGGACTCTTCACCCCTGCCTCCAAAAAGAGCGCCGTGTTTTTTCCTACCTCGCTGCCCTCCACTTTCCCATTCTGGAGCGCTAGCTTTCGCCCCCCCCCTTGGCCTCAAGTACAGGACAATGTGTCTTCATGGGTATTTCTCGCCATGAAGAGGTACAGTATGCAGCAACGTTCTTGACATGAAACGGTTCCTTATTATATACATCGCAGAACGCCAGGTACCACCCGATAAGGAACCATGAACCACAGTTTCTAGGTTTATGATTTATGTGTTTTTTTCTCTTTGAGACCACTGGTCACCATGATCTGGACATGGCGACCAGCTCTCCGGGGCAGGCCGACAGTGAGGAAGACTTGAGCGTGGAGGAGGCAGGGTTTGGACATCAGCTGTGGGAGTGCGACGGGCAAAGCAAATACGAAAGGTATGTGAACCACACATTTCTGTCATCATTGAAAGGCTTCCTATAACCAAACACAATAACTCAAGTCCTAAGTAGGCTTTCAGTTGTTTGGGCCTGTTCATTGCGTGCCAGGTGGCCCAGATCCAGGTTTTCCACAGCGACCACTGGCGAAGACACTTGCAACAGGTGATGCGCGGCAAGGACCCGGCAGCCTACGTGGTCAAGACCCGGGCTGGGAATCTGATCCAATGGGCGGCCGGTGGCGCGGTGGGTGAACTGGAGACAGTCCCTGTGCTCGAGGATTTTCCACTGGTGCTTGAGGCCAGCTTGATCATATGGCCACATGGAGTGATCAGTTCAAATCAGGTATCAGGAGTTGATGTGCGGCTTGCAATTGGAAGAGTCTTCCTGTTGATCATGACACCTAGACAATCATCCATACAAGATAGACGTGAGGGTTGCAGATGA